TTTTATCCTTTTATCGAGTAGCAAGTATCAGAGATGCTAGCCAAAGTAAAAAGTTTCTAATGCTACTAATTTTGTTGCTTGCCTTCCCTTTGAGAGTTATAATAAAGATCAGAGAGGACAGACTCCTCAGAGGTGGTGTGAGTTACACAGTAACATGCATGAACCAATTCTCCAAGGACTGACAGGAATAACACAGGTTTATCTCCTTAACATCTCCATCTGCTTCCCTCACCCTCCACCCTGCCCTCCCCACCTTGTTCTTACTGAAAGTATTATACAGGTTTTCCCCACTGTCTGAAAGTAGATCATTCCTATGATATCTTTCCTAAGCCAAAATGGTGTAGAGCGAAGAGGCAATGAACACTAACATATGGAAAAGTTTTTGAGTATTCCCAAACCCCCAAAATAACCTCTCTTAGAACTTTGTGATGCCTTAGGACATGTTGCTGAGGGAAGCACACAATACATTGAGATAAAGCACAGCTGCTCAGAGACACAGCTTAAGGCTCTGAGAGCTTGGTGCTGGGACGCTGGGTTTGGTTCCTGGGGAGGGCGTCTGGGGGGCTGTTCTTGCTGCGTGGAGTATGTGCTGCCTCTGTAAGGGTTTGCTGCACAAATATACTGAACACTATTTTTGCTGTTCACTTTTTTGGTAAAGATGAAAATCCTCTTTGGCTTTCTTTCAGTTAGCAACAATAGGTACTGACATAGGTCTTTTGTAAAAGCAAGGTGGCATAATGGGAACTTCTGAAAGTAGGGGATGCCTGTGTCCAGATCTTTATTCTTTTAGCTTAAAGTTTGCTCCTGGTTACACTGAAATTTCTCTCAGGAGATATTCTCCTTCACTTATACTTTAGTTTGCATAAAGTTGACTATTCTACTCCTGTTAACGAACAAGGAGTATGAATGTTTGGAAAATTAGAGAAAAAGAATAAAAAGGGGAACAGAAATTAGAGGGTCTGGGTAACACAGCCAAACTGTACCTATTTAAAAAAATACAGTTGTTTTGCCTGGGGTGAGAGTTAATTACAATAATTTGCTCTAATCATGTGCCTGTACTTCTCTTTTTCCAAACACTTATTTCATAATTATGTTTGTCAAGTTGTTAAGGGTAATGACCCTATTTTACCATCGGGGGAAAAAAACCAGACCAAAACAAAACAGATGTTCTATGAATTGCTGGAAGTTGGCTTTGTCAGAATTACTGAACACATGGTTTCTGACTCGGACAGTATCTGCACAATTAAAATAAGAAGAGGTCAGAGCCTCTGTGTGGCTTTCACCATTGTGTTTGATTTCACTGATCCTGAGCTGATACATGATAATCAAATGAATTAATGAAAGAGGTTGAAATGATTAGTTCAAGCATAGTTCAGGAGCCTCACTATAATATAAACCTTTACACATCAAAGTGACCTCCGGTTGCTGCTCTAGTTCTTTTTTTACTTAAAGACAGGAATATGTGAATATTTTGGTTGGGGGAAAGATGCAATTTTGGCTAACAACTTCTGCATTTCAAATCAAGGGGAACATTTCTTAAACTAAAGGATTACAAGTTCATTTTAGAAACAAGTAGAATGCAAGGGTGCCTGAATGGCTCACTCAGTTAAGTGTCCAACTCTTGATTTCATCTCAAGTCATGATCTCAGGGTCCTGAGATCCAGCGCCGTGGCAGGCTCCATGCTCAGCCCTCTCCCTTTCTCCCTCTACCTCTCCTCTCCAAATAAATAAATCTTAAAAACAAAAACCAGCAAAATGCATAATATCAGACATTTAGAAAAAAATTATTAGTATATTAAGGTTTACGCTATGTAGATATATCAATGTTAATAAAGTCACCTAATTAAAAACCCAAACTATAATGATTATTGCATAAGACAAGACTATGAACCTGAATGAGAAAGAAGACAAAGAGCATCTGTTGGAGATATCTACCGTGGGGGTTAGCATCTTGCTGTAAGGATAGGTCAAGGTCAAGGCAGTTTTATCCATGTCTAGTGTCAATCTTCCTTAATATCCTATCCTCCTTATTTTCCTCTTTCTCGTCCTGGAGTGACACAGCATTGGTGGCCAATGAATTAAGAGGCCAGCCTCTGAACCCCTCCTAAACCATGCCTCCTTTTGCCTTTGATTGGAAAGCCAAATGTGTACTGGTTGCCCAAAGCTTTTAAAATATGCTACCTCTAATAAACAGAAACCTTTGATGTCATTGCCTCTTTACTTATAGACAGACTTCTCAATCTAACTCCCTCAAGAAAGTTTTGCAAGTACAGAGAAGAGGTCAACAGGTATCTTTTGAAATCCTCTCATCTTGTATATCCCAACTGATGTTTTACACTTTTACTATTTAAAGTGTTATTTTATTGATCATAGTAAACTGAAGTTTTTGTTTGACAGCTTTTGAGTTAATAGAAGGCATCAAGATCCAAAGGCAAACAGAAAAAGAGAAAACAGAAAATAACCAAGAGCAATATGCATTAAAGAATCAAGGAGAAACTAAGAGAGGAGCAGAAAAACATGCTTACAACCACATACACTGAATATTAACTTTGGGCAAACCTAAGTACAGGTTTTTATTTTTTAAAAGTGTCTAACAAGGATTATACATTTATTTGTCCCAGAGTAAAATTTTCCTCAGTATATTACTCTAAGTTTGAAATACACCCTTATTTAAGAGGTGTCTACAGAGCATTCTTCTTGCTTCAGCTAACAGTATCTTTGCACTTCCTGGTGTTTATATACATACACATACTGCGTCTTGAATGATAGTTAATTAACTATTGATGGGTCCTGGCGTTCTAGGGCTTCCCAGGTGAAGGCTGAGTATTCTTTACTAATCGTTTAATGAAAACACTTACATGAATAATGAATCTGGTATTTCCCGAGATACACAGGCAACTTTTGTAATAGTAATAAAAGCAGGCATATGCAGTTATACAAGATACTCTGGCTTAAATATGTTTTCACAAAGCAAGCCAGAGAGGTTAGGCTGAAAATGAAGCTCCATTTCTTAAGGCTGCTGTTAAATGTTTCACATTAAAATACACTGTATGTTATAAGCACATAATATTAAAAGGAAAAAAAATAGTTATGTTTAAAAAGTTAATACCATTATTTGTTACCTAAGTCCCATATAAACATAATTTAGATTTTCAGCATCATGGTTCCAAACTTTAAATTTTCAAGCAAAAGAAACACACCCATCTCTGTAAACACACACACACACACACACACACACACACACACACACTGTACATGTATTATAATGATACAGGAAAACAAGACAACTAAAATGTCCCTGAAACCTATTATTCATCTTAGGATTAAAACTTGTCATCATTTAGTCTAATTTTAAAGATGGATCTTAGGATTTAGGTCACACAAGACCATACTAACGGTGCTAATCACCGAATAAACAATGAAGTGACTCAGCCTGACACCATTTAAAATGATTTCAGCAACCCCTATGATTCAATCCCTATCCTGGCTCTAATGAACACCTGCTTTGGAGAAACTAAGCAACTACAGTTATTTGAAAAAAGGAGTGAAAAAATGCATTTTATAGGTGCTGAAGAGAAAGAATATCATTGGAAAAAAACATGACAGGTACTCTTAGAAAAAGATCTGTGTTTCGGAGTCAGAAGTCTAAAACTTTGTCTTGATACTACTTATTATAGGAGTTTGGAGGAGTCATTTAACTTCTCTGATTCTGAGTGTCTTCCTTTGTGCAATGAGAATAACAATTTTTGCAACACTGTAATTTCCTGGTTGTCATAAACTATACACCACTACTATAATTACAATACTAATTCCGTAGTTAAATGAAGCCTTCTATGTGCCAAAACCTTGTGACTTGTTCATCTTATAACTGTATTTTATCCTCATAACAGTGCTATATGGTAAGCATTCTGATTTTCTTATACAGATGAAGAAACATCTCAGAGTGGTTAAATAACTTGGCCAAAAACATAATCACTAAGAGCTTAAATGTGATTTTGACTTCAGATCTTTCTGACTCTAAATTTCATTTTAGATTCATTTCATCCTAATACATCATATATATTTGTATGTGTGCACAAACATACATAAATATATAATATGTATTACTTAAAGAACATAGAAACGTATTATTCATTTTACACACCCACATACATACATATGCTTTAAATTCTAAAATGCTATACTAATGTGCGTGTGTGTTTTTTTAAAGATTTCAAAGATTGATGGACGGAGCAGAATCAGTACGTAGTCAGTATCTGGGAAAAGGAATTAAAATATGGAAAGTGACTAAGATCATTCTGAGTGGACTGCTAACTCATGTGTCAGCAATAGCAGTGGCTATTTAAATCCTACGATTACGTAAGATTGTGTTATTAAAAATTATTCCAGAGAAAAAAACATACAAGGACTAGACATAGGTTCAATTCTTAGATAAAGAATTGATAATGATGGAAAAGCAACTATCTTTGATGAACAAGGATGAAATCTAACTTTATGGTCCAGATTAAAGGAGACAGAAAAGATCTCTTTAAAAATGACATATGATTCTAATTTTTCAAAGTGGTGACATATCATCTTCCAAATTCGAAATTTCAAAAAAGCTGTTCAGTACTTTCCTATCAAAACAAGATTATAATACTTGGCATATTTTATTTCTCTTGACTGTTGTATATGGATGACAACAATGATGACAATAATTGGATGGGGACATTAAAAAAACCAATATATTTTTTTCAGAGTTAAGGAGACGAGATGGAAGGTATCAGGAAAGATGCATAGAAGCCTCATTTCTAATAAAAGCACAAATTTTCAACTGTGTAAAATGCTTCATGCCTTCCCCTAATCTGCTCCCAAAGAACATAAGCCTGGATGGAAGGATGCTGACGCGTGTGCCCGTTCAGAGCTAGAATGACAAGTCTTGGGAACAGGAGGTACTGCTGCTTCCATTACCCACTGATCACTTGGCGAGTCTTATTTCATCCTGAGAACATGGTACTTACTCTTGTACTGCTCTGGCTATGGAAAGGGCCGTAGATCCAGTCTCATTAACGCTATCTAAGGTCACATTTGGCAGGTCATCATCGTCACTGTCACTTTTACTTTGTCTGGGAGATAGGCCTCGGGGGTCCATTTGTGCTGGGAAAAAAAGGCATATATAATGAATTAAAATTAGTGTGCAGAAAGTTAACCTTGTCCTGGACCAACATCAAGCACGGCATCTCTCTTCTGTGCCTATCACGATGCACATGGAATTCTCCAGAAATCCCAGGAATTAGTGAAAGTGGTGCATTTTATGTACTGAGCATTTATTGACTTTTCCCTTGTTCATTTGATTTGCAGAACCTCCATCAGCTCTCAACAGTTTCAGGGGATGATTACAGAATCGAAACTATAAAATCCACAATATTACCAACTCCTGAGTGGTCAGAAGCTGATTAAGTAGGCTCATGAGTTACTGTGCAACCCCCTGGCTCTTCCTTCTTGCTTCTGCTGCCAGAGTTCTGGCCATTTCACTGCTTGTTAGCACATTCCCTGGAAGGTGGAGAGCCAAGGGAGGGGAGATTTTATCTGCCTATAGCTCTCTTAATAAGCTTAAAGAAGAACCGGGTTTACAAGGCTAACATAAAGTTTTAGGTATTTTTCATACTTCAGCGAATACTGCCTCACAGTTCATTACTGTTCTAAGTGGAGATCTGAGCGCACAAAAATGACAGAAGTAGCAGCATTTTAAATATATGTTTTATGTGGTAGAAAGTGTTCAACTCCATTCTGATTTCATTTTTCAGAAAGGCATTTCCAGATATGATTCTTCTCCCACTGTGAATCTGCCAACAAAGCAAGAAATAGCCTGATGTTCTGTGACCCCTGTTGACTAGGACCATCAGATCCTTTCAAATGAAAAGATTACCATCAACATTTAATATGTGAACACATATTTTAAAAATTTAGATTTCATTTCCACTTCCTCCTCTCTGTGAAGTTTTAGTATCCATCTAGGGCTTCCATGAGGCCTCACCTCAAGCACAAAATAAGCACATCTTCTAAATTAAAAGTATTGCACTAGCTATGCAATTGCATTATACAAATATATGACTTTAGCCCCAGCCAGCTGCAGCCCAATAGTTGCTCCTCAAACCTGCCTACAAGAGAGTTCTAAAACCACCACTGTTTGCAAAGGAAAGCAAAATGCACTTAAAATCATGGTTACAATGACAGCTGGGTACGTTTATAATTTTTTTTTCGCAAATCATTGTTTTGTTACTGTAAATTGTACATTAAGTAGAACCACTGGGAAATGTTGATATTTCACCTTTTTTTTTTTTTACCCACAAAAAGACAACTTCTCATGATTCTACCTAATACTTACAATATGAGTAGAAAAAGCTAGAGTTCCATCATACGTCTAACTAAATGTGGTTAGGAAAGAAATTCTATCTGTTGAACCTACTTGCCCTAGTGTATTTGACATACATTCTGCCTGTAAATATACACATACCAAAATGAATTTCGAACCAAGAAATGCTTCGTAAATGTTAGCTGAAAAAGAAAATCACTCAAATAATCTAAAGCAGTGGTCTTCAACCAAGAACAAAATTGTCCTCTTTCCCTCAAGATACATTTCGCAATGTCTGGCTTGTCACGATCTGATTTGTCATGACTCAAGGAGAAAGGGATGTTCCTGGCACCTAGTAGGCAAAAGTCAAAGATGGTGCTAGATATCTTAAAATACACGGGGTAGTCAGTAACTCATGACAGAGAATTATCCAGTCTGAAATGCTGACAACATCCAAGTTGAGAAACTGTGATCTAGAGATTTAAGAGTCTAGGCGTATTAAAGTGTCACATCTTATGATTTTCAGTTGTATAACTACGTTGCAGTTTCAAAGACACTAGCCAGTTGAGTTTGAAAGTCAACTATGTGCTGAATTATCCATATTTTCTGGCCCTGTCCTCAAATATAACAGGTCACCATCATATGACTCAGCACTCACTTCTCCAAAACGCAGCATTCACTTTCTCAAATGCCAGGAATCATGCAGTGACACTCATTGAAAGTTTTTAAATGTTTTCTTCGTATGACACAAAACACTGTTTATTTTCCATCTGATCTCTAAAGATGTTGGAGAAACACTGTGTAGAGGAACGTAACCCATTCCAGAAGCATCTGATAACAGAGAACTACTGAAGGGCTCATTCACTCAAAGCACTGGAAGCACCCAATCACTTAAGATTTATTTTGACTCCAGGCAACAGAAACTGACTCAGGCCAACTTATATTAAACAGAATGTGTTGGAAAGATACTGAGCAGCTCGCAGAGTGGAAGGTAAAGATGAGAAACTATCACTCAAGTAGCACAGCACATAGGAATGATATAGGCATTTCAACCAGGAATTCATAGATAGCTTCTGTTTGGGCAACCCTATTGTAGAATGATTCATTTGACAGTCGTTCATGACTACTCAAATTCTGCCAAGAAAATGAGTATCAGATCTATCTAGGCTTCCAAATCACATATTGTGTGGTGTTACATATGCCTGTAAATGTCAGCAACTTAACATTTAAAGTTGTTGAAACATCATGCACTAGGACTCCTTTGCCAAGATACCAAATTAACAAACAGCTAAAGAACAGAGACTATCCCGGTGGTCTCATTTTGTCCAAGAGAACTAGAGCTTTCATGGGTAAGTAATACAACCCGGGGAAGACACAGACAGTTAACCAATAAGCAATCGGGCTCCGAGAGCTAAAGTCTAATTGTAATAATGATTCCAAATAACTGGTGAGAGAGTTGATCATCTAAACTGTGCTATGTTTATATCTTAATGAAAGTTTAAAATATGTTAAATATGCTATCTTTTTTGATGTACTTTTCAGGAATATCATAATTGAGGATTTCTTTCCAATATTTTCAATAAATATTATGAAATACATCTGCTACCATCATGCTGGGAAACTCTTTTTACCCATACCTTCAGCCAAGCTGAGGAAGTAATTAGAAAGGCTTTTTAAAATCTGCATTGCTGATTAGGTCAGATGATTAGCTTATCTACATACTTGCATAATTCTACTCTATTTTTATTAAATGTGGGATAGGAACACCTACCCTAGTTAACCTCCATTAGTCTTTGAGTTCCTTAGTCATTTCAGAAGCACTGATTCTCTGGGGGGCGCCCATTCAGAGAAAATGGAAAGGTTACCCAGACACCAGAACTAAAACCATTCTCTACTTCCCTAAGTAAGTAAGACAGAAGCAAGTCAAGTAGAAGCATCTGAAAACAATCTACATTGGAGACTTTGTACCCTGGGAGTGAGACAGCTTTGGGTATCCCAGCTCATTGCTGGGTGTCACTCCTCTGTGTTGGAGGTAGAGGGACATACTGTGTGAGTTTCATTCCGTGTAACAGAATCCTTGGGAAGATAAATTCAGAGCCCTAACGCCTGCAGTTGAACATATTTATGGTAATTTTCAAATATGTACCTACAATAAACTGTTCCTGCAAAGACACTCACAATGCATCATGTCTCCATATATCCATGTCCTTGTGTGGCTGCGTCCCATGATGACCCCAGACCTGGCTAGATGACTTGACGTGGCCAGTGGAATTTCAGCGAACATAACACAAAGCAAAAGCTTGAATAGCACTCGCAATATTGGGTTTCCCCTCCATCGGTTACTGTTTTTAGAAACTCACCACCATGTGAAGGAACCCAAGAAAGCCTAAAATACACGCTGCTCAGTTGGCAGCCCACCCCAACTGAGGTAAGTGACTCATTTTAGAATGACCGGTCGCTTTACAGCCACCAGATGATTGTAGCCGTATGAGTGACCACAGTGAGACCAGCATGAGAACTGCTTGGCTAAACCCATCCCCAATCTTTGACTCACAGAATTGTCAGCCAATAAAATAATTCCTGTATCAACCTACTAGATTTGAGAATGATTTGTTCTTCAGCAGTACAAAATCAACGCACCAAAAATCGATGCACTGTCCTAGATCCTTCCAGAGATTTCGGGCAATGATGTGGAAAACTGCTACAATTATTGTCAGCCTATCACGCTCCTCTCTATTCTCCTCCCAAGAGGCAAACTGGCCTTAAGTAGCATAAATTTCAGTGGGCTATTAATACAAATATGGAAAATAAAAATCATAGATTACATTCTGTATTATTTACTTCTCAATCCAAAATACTCAAAATGTATTTACAGTTATTTTGACTTTAGAGGCATCTTTCTTTGACCCTCGCCAGCCTCAGGCAGGCTTCTACCGGAACAGGCCATCGGTTGGTATCATGCCTTGGGTGAACGAAGCTTTTCTTCCCCTTTTCTCAAGCTCATAGTTGATAGGAGACCCATACGGGTGGATCCTCCACTCAAAGCTAGATTTCGTATGTTTGCCTCAACTCACAAGGCATTTCAAACTCTACTTTCCCTCCCGTTAACAGCAGACTGACGCAGACACACGGCAACAATGTCCATCCTTACGTCTCCCACCTCAGCCTAGGTGGTGTCAAAGTTTAATTAAAGGCTCAATCTTATATAGAAATAAATTGGCCCATTCAGTGATTCTTCGAGGACAGGAAGTCCTTCCATATGTCACCATATTAAATGCAAAGAATATGACAATCTGTGGACATACACTGAGGCTGTCAAGACTAACAGGTCCCTACCAGAGTGATGCACAGAAGGATCTGAGCAATCCCTTTCACCTTGGCCCATTGGGGCCGCACAGGAGAGGGGTGTCTGTAGCCCGAAGGGCAGGAGGCAGAGGCTGCGATGCTGCCAGCCTTTCTTTCCTCCTCCCTCAGCCTGACAGACTGCCTGCTACCTTCAGATGCCCTACCAAGGCTGAAGCAGGTCCCAGCCAGAGAAACCCTGGCTCCCATGTGAGTGCCTGCTTGCTTCTAGAAAGAGCAGTGGGAGAAGGGGAGAGGGGAGCAGGGGAGAATGTGCAGGGGGACTGGGCATAGCATTATAGAAGAGTCTTCTACCACATTCTATACAGGAATTGCTCTAAAAAGGATGGACCTGGTGTTTCTTTAGGATAAAAACAGAGGTCTGGCTTCCGAGAACATGGGTGGGACCTCTGGCCATCTGACACCTGCAGCCATCTGACTTTGGGCAATGGATTTCCCA